AAGCCTTCGTATATCTTAGTCAGGACATTTCTACACGTAAAGATAACAATTTAACATCCATCTATCAATAATCGATCTTCGTTGTTTTCGCATTGTTCGAAAAATTCGCGTACACTTGTAGGTACGCACGAGCACCTTTTGCGGCATATTATGCTTTGCAAAGGACGAACGCGTGACATCATTCGCGGCGGTATGTACGTGCCCAAGTGGAAAACATCCGCGGCACCAATTATCCATTTTTGCACGGAATTATCGCTGGCGACCGAGATAAAGCTGTCCGGCTCGCGATGTATACAAATCATTCGCGACAATTGCACGCAAATTAGTCGCGGATAAGTCCGGGAATTCGTCAACGCCGTCACGTTCAGGATTTTGATCTTACCGATCTTATCGTTCGCGTATTTAAAGTCATATACTCGTTTCTCTGTCCCTATATCTGTACCTCAAAAAGTAATAAAGCGAGCAGTATTTTTCTGAGGATCCCCGTATCACACACCATGTTGAATAACTCCTGGGAATAACTGATTATATAATTAGCACGGAAATAAATACATTATTTTTCACTACTGAGAAATATTAAGAGATATATGCATTAAGTAATGATTATACGCACGATTATTTTCGTTGAAAAAGAGATGATCTGCGATAGTCCCGATAGTCAAGGAACAAAACGAGGGTCAACGGGTTGAAGGCAAAATATCGCGACGAAATATTGCGAGGCCCACGCAGGAGCGTGACATCGCGGGAAGAAATTCTTCGAGTGGACACGCGGTGTGCGTATGAACACCGTCACGCCCTTACGACGAAGGGAATGAACGCAGAAAACGTAAAAAGGCCGTCCGTGATGCCCGTGACGTCAACGAATCACCAGGCACAAGTCGGGTCAGCTGGCCGAAAGCCAAGCTGTAAAATAATGGCACGTTAGTCCCGGTCCTAATCGCCAGATCGACGTGCCTTAAATTACGGCCTAATAACATTCGTAATAAACGCGAGTGGAATCGCATGCATCCCGCGCGTCGGCATTTTTTAACCCCCATCTGATTTCCCGATATTCGATACGCGGCTCCACTCGCGACATTATATCATTCCCCAGCTATAATATCCGTGAAATCTCGGTTACTTATATACGATTCAAACGAACAGCGATGCTTTATTAATTGATTTTGCGTGATTTTTTAAAATTAGTAATGCACAAAGATATTTATTATTATATTCAGTATATAGGTATTTAAAGAATTTAAATGTACATATATTAATATTTAGCCTATTATTAGCCTATTATTAGATCATCTTTATAAAGTTGCTGTGCAGTAACTTATAATATATTTCTTAGGACTTTTAATAACTTATAATATATTTCTTAGGACTTTTATTAAAATTGCGTTACAGACGAGAATCTCATCTCTTGTCTGAACAAAATGCTATTATGAAAGATACGACTATTTATTCTCAATTCGCCAAAAGATTTGTTTCTTAATCGTATTTTTAAAGTTATCGACGTCAACGGTCTTGCTAGAGGAAAACGCACCACAATTTTTCACAAAAATCCCGTTTAGTTTATCGTCTTATTTACGAAACGCGCCTATTGTCGGACACCGGCCCGACGACGACTTCTGGCTAAAGTAATTTTCCCTTCGCGGAATCGGCGCAGGTTCGCTCTCGCCGTTTCTTCCTCTTTTTTTTTCTTCCTCCTCGCTTTGTTCCGCGTGCGCCATCGCCATCGCGTTGATGTATCACGCGGGGTGAGAGGGCGAAAGCGTGGAGGTGATAATAAGCCGTAAAGACTGTGAGACGCATCGGGAATGCGTGAAGTATTTACTCCCCTTATATACTTCGACGGACCGAATGATCCCACCGGGACCGAGACGCGGCGCGGGCCCAATCGCCGCGGCGCGGCCGGACCATAATTCAGCGACATTATGGCAAAAGAAGATGTCACTTGAGCGCAAGGCACATTACGGGGGTGTCGTTTGATCCTCGGTTAACTGACTCTCGGGGCTGTTGCGTGTAACAGCGCGCACCGTACATCGCGCGATGTTGCGTATATAAGTTATGCGAACGTGTTACAGCGAATTTTTGATTCTGTCCTTTTTCCGTAGACTTTCATACTTTGCTTATAAGAACTTGATAATTTTAGATAAATAATTTGATAACAGTCGCGAGAACTTGACTTGTTATAAAATGTGATACTTCGATACGAGAATGTAGAAACGCGTGTCCGGAAATTTGGAATTAAATTTCACAAGAGGATCAGCAACGATTTTAACGTACATCGCCATGTCTTCCATTATACTCGATCAGAGTGGAAACTTATCGAGCGTTCAAATCACCGACATCGTGCGTGCATATTGTTGCACTATCAGCACGTAACACGTGACCGTTCTATGCGAAAAAAGAATCGCGCTGAGCCAAGAAATACGACGGAGGGGTACGGGGGACGAAAGGTGAGAAAGAGCGCAATATTCATCGCGCGTCGGCTCGCGGCAAAGTAACGCGAAATAGAATTTATTGGCGTAGACGAGGGAGTGCCGGTGAGTTTTTGAAGTCTCCCGGGACTTCGTTGCCTTCGCCATTCGACTCACCATAAACCACGACTCGTCTCGTGAACGTTGCAGAACGGAGCAGCGAACGAGAGGGTTACCGCGCGCGCAGACTCGGTTTCAGAGCCTCGAGAATTCAAAGCGATTTGTGAAAGAATGCAATGTAACTCGCCTAACACTGAGAGAAGGTATCAATTACCTCAATTGTTAAAAAATTATGAAAGGAGAAAATGATAAAATGTCAGTTAAACAGCGGGAGTTTGCTTTAAACGCATGTAGTTTCTGTAAAAATATCACAGCGCATTCCTTATTGCGACCGATAATCGCAAATGCGTTTCTTTTGAAAACGTTTCTTATAAAAATAACAAATCCAAGTGATTACTAATATATTTATTATCTCGTAACTTTTAAAATCTGTAATAATAAATTTATAGATATATATTTACAATCTTTCTATTTTTAATTACATATTTTTAATATAATAATTATTAAAATATATATTTAATAATATTTATAGATATTTTTTATTTTTTATTATATATATAAAATGCAATGCTGTACAAAAGTACAGTTTTTAAATAGTATGATATTTCTATCGAGCGATATGCAATGCCGTTCTCTTCTATCTGTCCTGTAGATTATGAAACGTCCTTTCTTTTGCCTCGTGCACGCGCTCACACCAACGAATCGTCTTTCGCCATGGGTCCTGGTAGGGCTTATGGGGTTATGCGACGCGGAAATCGCTTAAAGCATCAAATTGCATGCGTGGGAATCGGATGGTGCACGAGCGATTAGAAAGAGAAAACGAGTTGTCGTCTTTTTAATTCAGATTGCAAAGTTAGCGAGAGTATAGCAACTGCGTATGTAACATAAACTTTTAATACGGGTGTCGTTCAAGAATCGGATCGAAAGATTAAACAAGAGCGATTGCGAAGAAATGATATCCTCTTAAAGACATTTAAGTAAATTTGCAATTAAAAAAAAAATTTCTAATTCGGATTAAAAAGATTAAAAAGTTGCGATGCACGTCGAGCTTTGTACAAATAAGCGAGATGTTGCAGTTTTCGGGCGCACGCGCGCATTGAAGTGATCGTTGCCGGAAAAATTTTCGTAAGCAACGACGCAAGGTCGACCCGTGGCTCTTTACGTGGAAAGTCTCTAAGGTGGGCGTGAACAGCGGCGCAGCCTTGGACGTCGGTACGATAACAAGGATATGTCTGTTATGCTGACGGCGCATCCTCTACCGTAATCAAACTTGTGGGACTCCCTGCGAAGGTATATCGGCGAGTCGCGAAACTAAAGTACCGCGGCGTGCGAACTCGTGCGCGCGATTGTATTTCGGGAAACGATGGCGTTGCTCGTGTTTATCACACTTTGAGCACGTGCACGATTATTATTTTCGCGTGACGTTACCATGAACGGCCATCGTGACACAGCCCGGATAAGGAAGATCTTATATTCAAAATAAAGGAGTTATAAATTAAGGACAATATCGATCTGAGATTAAATTTTGGAGAGGAGTCGAAAGAAAGTTCGATAAAAAATAGAATTATTTTATTCTGCATATTAGAATTATGTAATAACATGTGAAATTATTTCTCTCAAAATATTTTTTTATGCTTTTTACGCAGCAATTTATTTCACTGTTTATCGCGGAAAAGTCATCGCGTTATTCGTTACTTTTTGCCGGATTTCAATGATTTTTCACGCGAACGTTATCTTAATTAAACGGTAAGTTACAATTCAACGAAATGTCGCGATTATGACAGCCACGGGATAATTTTTTCTTTCGCGAAGTGGAACGATGACGAAAGCGCGCGCGAAACGACCTGATGGAATTTGCAAGCCTCACGTGGCAGAGTGCCATAAGCACCGGCCGGGGGTTGACTGCCGTGGCGACCCACCGATACTCTTTTTATTATTCCGCCGAGAGAGCTCCCTTCGGCTGCGCCGGTGGGTTCTTTTATTTCGCGATTTCTCTCTCATTTCGCTGAACCGACCCACCCGACACACGGGCCGAACTTGGACCCGGTCGCTCTGCCAATTTGGCGGGATTATTGGAAGTCGCCGATCGTCCCGAGAAGAGTAACGCAAGAATCGCCGATAAACGACGCGATAGTTACGACTATTAACACTCCCGGCAATGTCGTCACGTGCCTCAATTTGCATTCTCTCGTATTTTCTTTCCAATATTAATTTCTCAAAAAAAAAAAATTGTTTGAATCACACAAATTACTTTGGTTCTAGATACTGAAGAATAGGGAAGAAATACCTCTTGCGTATCTAATTATCGAAATCTCAGGTACCGCTATTTAGAACCGCTCTGCCCGTGTGAAAGGTGAATTCCTCCATTATCTATAACCAATTTTTAATGAAACGAAAAGTATTTCGCGTATACGCCACCATATGTCACGCAAGCGTGAAATTTGCGCGATGCGAAATGGTAGAAATGAGACTCACGTTTCATGACGCTGGTGGATTGCGTTGAACGTTTTATTTAGGATCCAGAGCGTTGGTCACGCACGGTGGCGCAATGCATAATCACCCATGGGCGCGAAACTTTTTCGTAGCCGACCGGTCCGTATCATGGCCTGATCATTGTCGGGGGTCGGGGTGATCGTCGTCGGGTCGGGACGACACACGAGAGGAGCGATGCAACTTAAGGTTGTCTTAAGCAAAACTAAACTTTGGTCTTGCCTCTTCGACATCCCGGTATCGCGTATCCCCCCACCATCGGCTTCTTTTCAGTCATGTGGGATTTACGCGTACGGGGAGTAGTTCTCACACCCGGGGCGGTACCCGTTTAAAAGACGGGCATCGGTGTCACCGTCGCGCGTATACGCTGCGTGCGTCATTATATGCGGACGCGCCTTAGAACCAAGATACGATTAAGCGACGACCCGTCAGGGGATATTGGTGCCAAGAAATATTAGTAAAAAAAAAAAAAAAAAAGTGTCATCAAAGAATAAAACCTTGATTATTACATCAATTACAGTTTAAGCAACATTAGTTATTCGAATAAAAAAACTAATCTGCAGAATTTCTCAAATCTCTTTCCTTCATCAAGAGACCAGTACTTAAGTTAATAAGATTTTCTTCGTTAAAAATGGAACTTTGGAAAGATAAGAATTCTTAAAGCGAAATTACTCTCCGGTTAAAGATATTCGGTATTAGAATGTAATGTAAAAGGAAATTTAGGACAATTAAACTGAAACAAATAACAGCTGTTAATTTAGAGGTGATATTTTTGTATTCGATAGAAAAATTTTCCGCATCACCGTCCACAAAGAGTCAGCTAAGCGAGCTAAGATGACACAACAATCTTCGCGTCGTGCTTAAGATATCAACGCCTGAGTCATTACACGATATGCTGATTCGTAGACTTCGCGGGATTATCAAATCACAAATGCACTTCGCTCATTTGAGCACGGGTGTAGAGTCCTTTAAATTGTTATTATATATCCATGTCGTCTTTCAACTCGTGTTTCACCAATCGTCTTCTCAATATACATATATCACATGTATCATATATTACACTGAAGATCAAGGTATCGTCAGCAACAATTGAACGTCAATAGTCGAGTTCAAAAGTTATAAAATAAATTATTTTCATAAAAGTATTATTATCAAACGTTCTTAATTGTTAATGTTATAAGACTACTTGATGAGTAAAGAATAAAGTTATATATTTTTACTTAATTATCATAGATAGATATAAATTTTCATTTTATATTGACGACATATTAATCCGTTTACTTTAAAGTAACATTTCTATATTAATAGACTTTCGTTCAATTGTTGCAATGTTTATTTTGTAACTTTATCTAAGACAACTTCGTTGCTTTTGGGGCCACCTCGGATATCCTGCGACATTTCTAGGGCGGAGACTCGTGATTTGTCAGTTTGCGATCCCGAGCAGATCCTGATATAGTAGATCATTAATATCGATCGGGCATGATGCCCACTAAGTTGTGTGGGAAGTGTCGAGTTTCATGTTTCTACACATGTTCGAACGCTTAAGTCGTCGTATCGTCTTCATCTATCCGGTTGCCCGGGGCGGGAGCGTGCATCAGCTGTGACCCGCGGTCTCTCTGATCCCGACCACCGCCGGACACTTCCGGAAATCTGGGCAATGCATCCGGACGGGAATTCGTGGTTGCCGCGCCGTATAAGTCTGAGAATCAAAGAAGTCACTGCGCGGCGGATTTAATTGTATCGCCGCGCCATAAATCTGATCCAGGTTTGGAATCTCCCAATCGCGTTGCCAACTTCCAATTCGCGAAAAAGAATTTACCGGAAATTTATTCCAGGAATCTATTTTGGATTATCGAAGTATTAATTGCGCTTGCTATCGCATATACGCTGGCGTCGCGCGACGAATCGCTTGACGCCCGGGACAATAAACAAGCGCGGCAAAAACATAAACCGTAAACCGGGACGGAAATTTTTACACACGTCGTCGGCGAGATTTCCTTCCTTTCTCTATTTTCCCGCCTGCGAGAAACTCAATGCGCCGCACATTGTGATTCCGTCGGATACGTTTACGTCCGCGCGGCTTTCGAGAGCTGCGAGACAAAGCCACTCTCTGTTCTGGCGTTACCCCGCGCCACGTAATGCCCGTATAGATTTTACGAGGTTGTAAAGAAGACGCGTAAACTATTCCGAAGGGTGGGAGAGAGGGGCCGGTGTCACCAATTTTGTTACGCCTAGGATTTCGTTTCGCTGATAAAAATCTTAATTGCCAGACGCGAATGACGGCGCGCGGATAAATTTAACTCTTGTTACGAAACTTTTCGAGAGCTTCGCCGCATAGAAAGCTGATTATCCAAAACTTTGAGTTTGCATGGATTTGGACTTTATGCATAAACTTTTCGTATTACAATAGGGGCAGAGACTATACGAAAGGAAAAAGAATTTCGTGGAAATGATGAGAGAAGAAAAAATAATTATTTATTTTTAATTTACAGTGCGATTCACGTTAAATATAAACGTATCATTTTCTTCATTCGAAAATGGCATAAATATCGGCTGGTATAAATCGCGGTCTTTATACCATCGCGTATCGCAACGTTTATATTTATTACGGTTTGTTATGGAGGCGTTAATCTTGATGTGTCAACAATTTATTATATAATTCTTCAGCCGATCATGCTTATAAATAGTCGACCACGAGTCGCGTATATAATGCTCGATACAAAATGCTTGATACAAAAATAATAATAAACACTTTAATAACTCTTCCATCATCGGAATGTTTTTCTTTCAGAACTGAAGTTAACAAACAAGAATATAAGATCCCATAAAATTTATTGCGCCTTTTATCGAGTAGAGTCCATTTTTTATTGTCATTTCATCTGTTGTACGCAAGTGCGTCTATCCAAAGATTCGCAAACGAAAATTTGAGAACACCTCGAATAATCCGAATATTACTTATTATTTCGTGTCCTATAGACTCGGGCGTTACATCCAGCAAATTCTGAATGCTATATACGGACTAGCGTTGGAGAATATTCGCGCTCCTTTGTTCGAAGTACTCCAGGCGCTCGAGAGCGCCGAGAGTAAGCAGAAGAATCGAGGAGTTAAAAGTCATCGGCGGCCCGCGCAGAGAGGTAACGATAGACGCGTGTTCGCGCGCGAGGTTTCTCTAGAAAAGCGCGCCGCTGTTTGCGAGCGTTTTGCATATACACGTCGGGCGTCACCCTGAATTACCTAAGAGCTGTTTACGCACGTGCCAGGATGTTGTAAGGCGTGCACCCGCGCGCTCGCGCGCGCGCACACGCGGGTTCATTCAATTATTGCCCACTACCGTTACGACTACCACTTACTTACCACTATTATTAGCCATTGCGGCTGAACCATTCATGAATTACTATTATTATTACCGCGGTAATACGAATGGTGAATGCTCGCCTCCGATTTGTGAGTCGTCCGATTGTCCGACATTCGGAATCATCTGATATTCGCGAAAATAACTTTACAACTAAAATCCATTTTTCTGGAATTGGTTTTAACTGCAGGAACCTGGAAAGACGCAGAAATAACTTATGCCTTTGCCGCCCGCGCGTGTGATTGGAATATTCTCAGGATGCTGTGTTCTTTTTTTTTTAGAATTATGTAATTACAATGCCATTGGAGATACCTTGATTTTTTGTATGCGAAAGAATGTCACCCCTTCCGTAGGGAGACCTCCGAATTACATTAATCGAAAGAGTTTAAATACTATGGGAGTTTGGCTCTTCGTTTCAAGCACGACAGCGATAATTCAACGTTTAAAAAAATGTTTGAAAATAAAGCTATCGAGATAGATCCTGTCCAAGCGAGCACACGCGATACGGAGATTTACGCTGTCGTGACAGCTGCGTAAGTCCTCGGCGCGATGTTTTCCGCTATACGTGAGCGGCGGAAGGGTGTAGCGGTCAGGATCACGCGTAAGGATCACGTCCCGACAGTTCCTTCATACAAATCGCTTTGGGAAACGACACGCCCCTTCGCGGCTGCCGCGACGCGTTACGCGCCTTCCTATTTACTTTACGTCGCGTTTCCTTCTGCCTTCCCTTCTTTCTTCACCCTCGTCGGCGAAATGAGAATCCGGCGCGTGAGTACGGGGCCGGACTCGAAAATAGTCCGATCCGTTTCACACGCGCGTCGCGCTCACGAGCGGATAAATCACGCGTTTCAACCCCTTTTGCCTCGACGGCGCTTTTAGACGGCGATAGGACGGCTGAGTAGGTGCATTCTCGATGCGAGGACATTCTAACAGCGCACGCTCGGAAGATTTACGCCGAGCCTCGTGAACGCGGACCTGAAGGCGACTTATCTAGGATAAACATTTAAATCGAGATTTAATGAAGATCGTATTGGATGCTTTAGGGGAAAAGTTTTTGGCACCAAGACAGTTTCTTTCATAAGAGAGTTTCATTTAAGCCTAATCAGGCCTGATGAGTTACTTAACATTGGAAACAAAAATAATTTTGAGTCCAAATAAATAGTAAAATTTTTGTGTTTAATATTATCGTAATCTCATCCTCTCGAAGCTTAATTTGACCTATCCTGAAGAAATTTACTTTGCATTAAACAATTTTTAGATCAGCGGTTATGTTAAAGAGACGTCTTTCGATATGTAGCGATTTCTTAAAATCTAAATTAATTCGGTTTCTTCGGTTGGAATAATCGTGAGCGTTTTCAAAAGGAAAATCTATCTCGGGGAACGTATTAGCATAAAAGGGTGGAGACTCGTGTGTGAAAGATCATGCGGGCGCCGTAACACAATATCGAGATAAATTCAATGCGTTTTCAACGAACAATTTACCTGCATCCACGCGCTCGAATTACACCTGCGACAAAATAACATAGATCTATATTCCTAATAAGATTCTGAATTAGATTAAACGATACTTTCGCGCTACGACGTTTAATGTGACCGTCGATTCAGTGAATTCAATCAATATAAAAATTTTCTAGAAACAGTGATATCTCCATTTACATCATTTATCCAAACTTCGAACCACTAATCTCACAGTGATGTACGTAACGTAGCAAATTTTTTTAAAAGACATTTTCTTTCAATTTAGATAAACATTTTTCAATTTCTTTTTACAAAACTTTTAATTAAAAAATTATTTATTTGTCATTAATTACATATAGATACAATATAGAAAACAGTA